ATCAAAGCGGGTAACCGATCTGGAGCTCCAGATCGGATCACTGCCATCCAAAGCGGACGGATCCAAAGCCAGATCGAATAGCTGCCTACTTCCACAGGCCTACTACCTGATCAACACATCAAAGAGCTACTCAACATGGCTCACAAAGACACTCTCATGGACCCAGAAGGACAGCCTTCCATCTTTAGCTCCCTCTGTGCAAAAATGAAATTTAGTGGGATATCCCACCTACCAGAGGTAGGGACAATTTGGGGGATAGCTCTATCAAGCCTTCAGTCAGCACAGATGTAGTTAGGGATCTTCTGGAAGGGCTAGATATTTTTAAATCTGCAGGTCCAGATGCCCTCCACCCAAGGGTGTTGAGGGAGCTGGCAGGGGTCATCGCGGAGCCTTTGGCTCGGCTGTATGAGCCATATGTGGTCATCTGGCCAGGTGCCGGGGGATTGGAAACTGGCTAATGTGGTCCCAATTTTCAAGAAGGGGAGGAAGGAGGACCCAAGTAATTATAGGCCTGCAAGCCTCACCTCAGTGCTCGGGAAGATCTTGGAGAGAATCATCAAGGAGCACATCTGTGGGGGGGCTGCGGGGGAGATCATGCTCAGGGGCAATCAGCATGGGTTCATCAAAGGCAGGTCCTGCCTGACCAACCTGATTGCCTTTTATGACTAAGTAACTAAATCCTTGGATGATGGTGTCGCTGTGGACGTAGTCTTTGTAGACTTTAGGAAGGCCTTTGACACCGTCTCTCACCCCATCCTCATCAATAAATTAAGCGACTGTGGCATTGATGCCTGCACAGTTGGATGGGCAAAAAATTGACTGATGGGGCGCACCCAGAGAGGAGTGGTGGATGGGTTGTACTCAACCTGGTGAGATGTGAGCAGTGGGGTAGCCCAGGGCTCAGTCCTCAGGCCCGCACTGTTTAACATCTTCATCAGCGACTTGGATTTAGACAGACTACAAAATTGGGCAGATGAGAATAGGATGGGGTTCAATGTAGACGAATGCAGGGTGCTGCACCTTGGGAG